CATCTTTATGGTATGACAGCCCTATCAGCTGGTAGTAACATTAAGAAACTTGAGCATTTCCTTTTTTTTAAGTGCTTCCTCAAAACCCACTCCTTTTGGAGCTCTTTTATGCATATGGAAGGTTAAATGGGGCAGCTACATTATATTACTGGGTGTTTTTCTCCCTCTCTTTTGCCAGTACGTAACATTCTACAAGTTTAGGCTTTGCTCTTGTAGTGGGCTTTGTAGGACAGTGATACCACCTGCATCGTGCACTCTTGTAGAATGGTGTGAATAATGCACTTTCTGTGTCTTCTGCTTCTTCACCCTTCAAGTAATAACTCACCCAGTCTGTGTGCTTCAGTAATATTATTTGTCTCACTTCTGACAAATATCTTACCCAAGTGAGCTTATGACCTTAAGTTACAAGCGTGGCAGGGAAGTTCAGGTGTTCTGTTCTGCTCCCTGCCCTCCTAAGGATACCTCTGACAAACTGTCATTTTCACAGAGTAATGGTTCCTGTTCACCTGTGAGTCACATCAGTGATCCATAGCATTCCCAGGTGCTGCTCAGATGTGGAACTGGCTTTTATGAGAATATGTTCTTTTTCTTTCAATAACTTGTTTATATCAGTTGAATCCTCCAGCTTTTGTTTAACTTGAAGTGAGCAGGTATTTTCCTGTCTTCTCTGGGTTTCAGAATTCCAAATGAAAAATTCTCTTCAGGGATACTGCTCCCAGTGGTGGCAGTTTAACCAGTACATGTCAGGTCACCCAAGAGCCTGAAAGACTGTACTGGGCAGACTGACCAGTGGCATAAGCCACCTGAACTGGGTGGATCATGGGAGGTGCATTTTCAAGCTTTAACTGTCTAGTAGATGGACAGTGACTTTCAACCCCAGAGCATGATGAAGCCTATGAAATTGTGCCCAAGCACAACATCCTTCATGTTGTTCCGTGTCCCCACAGTGCAATGGCAAGCTAATGGAGGGAACTGGGTCATCAGATTTTGAAAAGGACAGGATTTGCTTTGAAAAGTGTGGAAACCTGTGGAGGTGGCTAACATTGTGAAAGGCCACTTTTGATAAGATCTTTGATTTCACTTTCCATACCAGCGTGGTAGTTTAATGCCAGCCAGCAATTAAGCACCGCGCAGGCACTCGCGCACTTCCCCCTCACTGCTCCCCTTCTTTTTACTCAGAAAGTAAAACTTATGGTTTGAGATAAAGACAGTTTAACAGGACAGAGCAGAGAGGAGAAATAACTATTATAATAATAACAGAATACACAAATCAAGTGATGCACAGTACAGTTGGTCACCACCCACTGACCGACGTCTGGCCAGTTCCTGAGCTGGGTTGTGCCCTGGCCAGCTACCCCCAGTTTATATACTGGGCATGATGTCCTATGGTATGGAATGCCCCTTTGGCTCCTTTGGGTCAGCTGTCCTTGCTGTGTCCTCTCCCAGCTCCCCGTGCACTCCCAGCCTCTCCTGGCAGAGCAGTAGGAGACTCTGAAGAGGCCTTGACTTAGGGTGAACACTGCTTAGCAACAACTTAGCCATCAGTGTGTCACCAACATCATTCTCACACTAAATCCAAGATGCAGCACTCCACCAGCTACTAGGAAGGAAATTAACCAGGATGAACACTTATATGACCTTAAAACACCATAACACATGCTGTATTCTGTTGCACACAGCAGTGAGGAGTAACTTTCGAAAGAAAATATTCCAGTTTGTCTCTTAAAGAGGCAGGTAGCTTTCTCTCTTCCTTTTTGTCTTAAATCTTTCCTAGTACAATGGCATATATTACTGAGTTGTATCCTTGTTTCTCAGGTCAAATCAAGCTGTAATTAGCATAAAAATCATAGCAGGTAGAGTATGGGGACAAATTCTAGTGTCTGTGTCTAGGACAAGCGTAGAAGGTATCTGTATATACAGTGTATTATTCAAAATATATCTACTATATATAATTTTTTATTCTTCAGATCATAATGCTGGACTGAATCCAGTACAAGACAAGACATTTTAAGGGCCATGATAACCTGACTTGACACTGCTAAGGTTGAATTTAATGAAGACTGGTGTAATTACTGCCTGTCTTCGGTAGCTTGAGATGTAGCAGCTTGTGGCAGTGCAAGTTCCTTTGGAACAAATTTGCATCTGTCTGGTAGTGCTGTTTATGCTTGTTGGGGTGGTTGGTGTAACCAGCTGGGAAGGCTATTGGACCAGCCCCATCCCAGCAGAGCATATCTAACCCCTTGTTTCCTCTGACAGAGAGAAGTGATATGATTGGTGCAGTTTATATGGTGTCCAAGGACTGACTGACCCATACTGGGGATATGTTTTAATATGATTGAATAAATCCATAATTTATTAAATAAATATCCATTTCACTCTAAAACTGGGAAAATGCAAGCTGATATGCTCCATCAGATCCATGCAACATACATGGCTGTCCTGAACCTCCCACTGTCAGTACTGCTGTGTAGAGTACTGCTTCTGCAACACCTCATACCTACCACCTACAGTATTGCCATCATCATTAAGATAATTCAATACTAGGGCTCATTTCGTTGTCATTCAGGTTTTGGTTTTGCAAACCAAACCCTCATTGATTCCAATTTGTATTCCAGGATTTGTAAGCAATAACAGCAAACAATATTATCTGCATTCACTGTTAGGCTTAGCAAGCAGGAATCAGTCACTTTCAGAATGTCTCGTTCTTCACCATCACAAAATCAATACAAATAGGTCCTTTCAGGTTCACCTAACAGATGCTTGAACAGAGTAACCTGTAGTGAGTCAAGATTTTCTTCTTTCTGTTTTTTACAAACAGAAAACACATGATGCAACCCCCCAAAGCAATTTAACTCCACCCCGGTAGTGTCAGATTTGCCCCTGGAAGAGTCAAGGACAATTTTCTCATGCCTCAAACTGCCTGCCTTGCAAAGCACATGTGGGTTGTTTCTTGTGTGTGCTTTCACAAAGCTCCTTCTAATTAAAGCTGTGACTATAGCCCGGCTGGTTTCAAGCTTCCGTTGCAGATTTCATCTTTTCTCTCTGTGCTGATAAGCCTCAAGCAACAAAATAACACCTACAGGAACACTGGGGGAGCTGCCCATGCTGGAACCCTCAGCCATCCGTGAGTGCTGTAACCAGGCTGAAACTAACTGGGCCTAAAATGCAAAAAATATGGAACAAACTATAGAAACACACCCTGAGACTTATTTGGCTTCCAAGTTAAGACATAGGTTCTCACACACATCTCAGCTCTGCAACACTATGTGGTTTAGTATTTCATGAATCTTGGCTACCAAGCAGTAGCTGTGTGCAGACCCAGCACATATCCTAAAAAAGCAGCCATCCTCAAAGAACTTCACTCAGAGTTGGCCCACCTCCACCAGAAAGCCAGATTTTGTGCCACATTACTTGATTTATCAGAGCCAGAGACGACCCAGCTTGGGGTGATACAACAACTGCAGAGATGCTCTTGAAGCTCTGTCAGAGTTGGTCCCAGTCTGGCAAAACCCAGGCAGGTTCTGTGCAAAGTCATGGCACTGCTGTGCTTTACTGTCCATGTAATCCAGGGTTCTCCAGAAGCCACGTGATCCTTGCTCCTTATCTCCCTGGCTATTGGAGAATTACCTGCCTACAGGATATTTTTCTCACTGTTTCCAAGTGAATGCCATTTTTACCTTAACAAGAAAAAATAATGAGAGCACTACCTCATTGTAACCAGCTGAGTTAGTGCTGCTGCTGCTGAAGTTGTACCACCACCAGTTTTATTTGATGGGTATTTTTAAATTAGCTTTCCTCCATGGTGAAGGTAAGATCATCTTCCTGACTCACAATACTTGTCGAGACACTCTAGCCAAGCTTCTGCCTTTCTCCATTCATCTGCTCTTTGTCCATCACAGTGAACACAGATTTCTTCTTCCCATCAACTGTAATTCACTTTTCCTACATTATTGTGACTTCAATCTGTCCAGCGCAAGTGAGGTGAAATATTCACTTTCCTAACTTTTTCCTTCTGTTCCCAGCTTACAGCCTTATTCATAGGAGAAATACTGTCAGAATCCACAGGCCACTCTCTTTTCTTCCCCACAGATCATCCTATAGGAATTCCTTCTGTCCTGGTACCTGCAATGCACAGCCAGGCAACCAAAGCCTAGAGAGCTGGCAAGTTAAGATGATTCATTGCTGTTCAACGTTAGTTATTAACTCAGTCTCTTAACACCACTCTCTCATTTGTTGCCTTTTCAATTTGTCAGCCTCCATTGTGAGTTGGATGGGAAAAATATTCTTTTGTTGGATAGCTGGAGCACTTCATTTGTTTGGAGACTTCAGGCTCTAATATTAGCTAAATAATACACGACACAGGAAGATATCTGGTGTTTTATCATTTATGTTTGACTGTTGAGAGGCAGGAAAGAGGAGAGTTATCACTGATTATGGAGAGTGACATAGCTTTTACCTTCCAAAGCAGACAAAGATGGAGAACATTTTTGTTTGTCTATCCATATGAAATCATAATTAAGGATTTTGTACACATGCATAGGCACCCAAGAAAAAAACTGAAGACTTCTCTTGTCATCAGGTTTTGCTTTCACATCCAGAGAGAACGCAGGAATACCTAAAATATTTGCTCTAGATTTCCTACAAAAGAGAATTATTTTTGTTGTCATTGCAAGGGGAGAAAAAGAAAAAAAAAATACTCTTCAGAATAAACTGTTAGAAGTTGTTGTTATGGAAAATGGAGGCTTTTTCCTAAAGCAATGTTTTTGATACCTTAACAGCAGGAGTATTTGTTAATATTACTTGCAGCTGGTTTGCATCCTTGCTGCTTCTTCTTGTATTGTCCCACACGCACAACATAAAAATGGAAAAACTTCATTATAACTTAGTGTCACACAGCTTAATGACACACTTCTAGCCTGTTCTTTTGTATATTTTATGTCATTAGAATTAATAATTTCCAGTGTAATGAGATTTAAGATGCCCTGTGCTTACTTCTGCAGGCACCCTAGACAAACATGTAGAACTAGAGAAACTTGTGGCCAAGTTCCTTGGTGTGGAAGATGCCATGGTGTTTGGCATGGGCTTTGCAACTAACTCAATGAATATTCCTGCCCTTGTTGGAAAGGTGAGTACTTCCTTAAGGAACACAGAGAACAACTGTTTATTAATTGTTTTAACAACCATTGCAGTGTTCTGGGCACACAGTAAGTGGAAAGACTTGACTGAGGAACAAAGCTTGATACCAGGAATGCATAAGTTGTAAGACTAATGACCTGGTGACCTTAAGTATGCTCCTTCATCACTTTTTCTAGCTCAGGGTGTTGGCATCACAAATACCTAACATCTATTTAAGGATGAGTGGTACAGTTGTTTAGCTTCTCTAAATGAAGTTGTTTCTCCCTAAAACATAAGCAGAGTTGTATCCCATGTGTCAGGTGCTGTGGGATATGAAGTATTTTGGCTATTTGCAGAGATATTGCCCAACTGCCTGTAGTGAAAGATTCTCATTAGGGTGTTTTTTACACCACTTTCTGAAAAGATGAAGAACAGTGTTTGGCGTTCCTGATGAACAGATCTCCATCCAGCCCCACAAAGAAAGCTGGCAGCAATTGCAAATCTAAAGTCGTGACCATATGACAAAAGCTGGGTTCTTATTTGGTGTTGAAGAGACTTCATCTCCAGTTTGGGGTACCCAACACAAAGGTGTGAAAATCCATCATCCTGTCAATCACAGCTCCTGACATAAGAAGCAGATACACTGTGCTGTTAGCTGGGAAAGTGGGTAGCTCATCTTTAGATCATGCAGGTGTGAAACAGTATTTCCTTCTTGTTGAAGATGGAATGAACTCAATGCATGGTGTGTAATCAAGACTTCTTCTGAAGCACTGATGTAGAAGTGAAGTTTCTTCTTCACTCACTGCTGAAGATGAATCTAGCTTTTGCAAGAGATTTCTAAAATACATGCACACAAGGCTTGGGCAGGGACAGTTGCTCCAGCTGCCCAGAGCATGAATTGAATCTGCAACACTGCTGGAGAAGTTGTCCAGCAATTTCAAAGGGAACAGATACAGAGAATTAATAAAGGTAAATATATGAAATTGCAGACATATTTAACAGCATAAGATACTTCTCTCTCACTTATTTTCCCTTACTCAGCTGATCTCACATGGAGACTCAGGCTGCTCTAAGAGGTGTGATATGATAAGATGTAAGTGGCACAAATAAAGATATTACTATATGTATTTTAAAGTGTATAGCCATTTTATATATGTTAATATATAGTATTATAATGTATTATGTATATTACAGATATTATGTAATTGCCTTATGTTGGAGAGATGTATTCCTAATTTTTCCTCTGTTATTGAGCCTAGCAGCTGTATTTTCTTGTCAAGGTGCATATACTCCTACTGTTAGTTCTGTATACCAGTCTTTAGGTGGATTTAGGTGTCTCTCTCAACCTAGACATAATCAATGTTTCCAAAAGAAGTATTTCCTTAATGTTGTATTGCTCTTTGGGTAATGAAACCACAGCACAAGATGTATAATGAAGAGCAGAGCTAAATTAGGGTTCCAGCTTGAATTTCAGCTGTGAATCCTGGCTCCTGTTAATATGATCTACAAAGTTATTTCTGCTGCATTTCTATTTCAGTTTCTAAACAGAAAATGAGTTTTCAACTCAGTTAATTAATGAAAAATATACTAGAGATGGACTGTGTATGCATGTACCAGAGAAAGACTCTGCCTGGTGCCTAGGCCCCACTCACACCCTACTAGAGGTGGTATTTATGGGGCATTGATCTATCCTGATCTCATCTCTGCAGCACAGAGTGCTGGTGTCCATCAGCCTCAGTATGACTCCTCCTTACATTACTGTTGTGCAATCTTTATAGCTGGGGTGGTGACTGAGTTTTCCTTGCAACACAAAATAGACTGTGGACAGGTTACAGAGGAAGCAACATCCCTTGATTTTACTACAAAGCAGTCAGTCTCTGCTAGGGTTTTTCACTGCCTGGGAATACCTCAGAATCTGATTCCACAGAAAATCCAGTTTGTGTTTAATACTTAGAGGTAAACTGGTGCAATGCTGTATCATAGACACACGTGTGCACTGACACAGACGTGCACATGTGTCAGGAGCCCCTCAGTTCATGCAGATGCTTATTGTGCTCCTTCTCCACAGGGCTGCCTCATTTTAAGTGATGAGTTGAACCACACTTCTCTCGTTCTTGGTGCAAGGCTTTCAGGTGCTACTATTAAAATCTTCAAGCATAATAGTGAGTATTGAAGTTGGAATTATTTACAGACAGAGTTGTTCACACCTCAAAGGCAAAATGCTTCCTTTTAATGCTTGCTTGCCTGTCAGTTCCTAGATAATACTTTTGTCCAAGCAGAAGGATTAACTGTTCAATATTATGGGTGATTTCTGATGGGGAAAAAATTGTAGTGTAATATTATAACTGCTGTTGTGCATGACTTGGGTCATCAGGTTGGACCTTAATTTCAAAAAGCATAATCTTAATCTTGTTGCTGTCTTTTTGACATGCTGAATGACTATTTGCTGTCAGAAGGGTTGTATTGTTGCTCTCACTATAGCCAAAATCATACAAATATGCTTACAAAAACATACTCAGGATTTCCTGCCTATATTTGTAGTGGGTTCAGAGCAATCAGAATTACATTAATGTAATTTGAAACAGTTACCCTGAATTCCCAGGGGCCTGTATCAAAGATGCAGATGGTTATATCAAAAGCATCATCGCAAACATTCTTTGAAGTATAATTTTAGTATAGAAATCACACATTAACTTTGCATTCATATAATTATCTTCTAAACGATGCATGCATTTTAACTTTTATTTAGTTAATGCTGCTGTGGTCACTGTCAGAGACACTGTGATTGGCTTTGATAACAAGAGCTTGTTCTTTTCCCTTATATTCCCCATTGCAATTCCCCTTTTCATCCCCACTTCTGCCACCAGGCAGTGATTGCAACAGAGGTTAAGAAGCTAGAGAAGTGGTGAGGAATGAGATAAAAGGTCTGATCACCTTTATATTAATAGCTAATATAGTTCCTTCTATATTAAGTGTTGTGTTCAGCCCTCAGGTAAGCAAAAATGAATTATGCATATGCTATAAAACGCCTACGGATCCACTGGAATGAAAATCACACAATAATTATAATATAAGGTGTTGTTATAATTAATATCTATTCATAATTTGGGCAAGAAACTATTTCTGAAGATCATTCAATGATTAAAGACCATCTGAACACAAATGTTTTTACATAAGTCATTACTCATTGATTAGCCTGTAGCATACCCTGGCTTGGTCCACTTCCCAAATCTGGGTCGTTAGGCATGGCTGCTGCACCAGTCTTCTGCTCAGCACTTCCTTAGTTTGCTCAGTGCCTTATCCCCTTTCAAATGGCTTTGCTTCCCATCTTGGGGGATGACCCCTCCCTACCCAAAGCCAAATGTTCTCAGCCTCTCCAGCCATCTGTGCTGTGTGCAGCCCAGGTGGCTTGTGTCAATTCCCACAGCATTTCAAAGGACATTCCAGTCTGAGCAGTATATTACTCTCAACTGCTAGGGAAGGAGTGAAGGCAACACTCTGAGCTATCGTTCTTGCTTTAAGGAGTTTGGTCTCTAACCATCTCCTGGTGTTTCATTCTGCTCCTGAGAATCATAATATCATCACTGACACCTAACCAGACTCTGCTTGCACTTACAATCAATTAAAGCTGATGTTCTTTTTGGAAAAATGTGTAAACCTAAAAATAATAGTGAATTGTCCAAAAAGCACAAATCCAGTGCTAGAAAATGTGGACAGTCCCTTTAGGGGTCTCAACAAACATCAGTGGAAACCCATATAGGTTACTCTGGAAAAACTCATTGATTTCTAAATTAGATCCAATTTGCTCAGGTCAGTCTTGCATGCTATTTCTGAGACATCACCTTATTTTCCAAATGAAACTGTGAAAATTTATGCAAGTACTGTTTGGAATGCCAGTGTCAGCTTTTGTCATCACAATTTTGTAGGCCTTGACCTCAGTTGCACATAGAGAGCACTTCACATGAAGCAGCTTCACAGATTCATGCTCTTTCTCAGTCCACCACGAGTCTCTCACAAAGTTAGTTCCATGGGTAGAATGTTCTTTCCTTTTAATATTGCCTTAATCAAGGAGTTCTATATCACCAACAGCTTTTAAAATCACATGTGCAGAAATGTACATATGTGCCTTTTGCTTTGGAGAAAGTTGGGTGTGTATTGGGGCAGAGCAGTGCAAGGCATAATCCAGCAGGATTATGTTCCACCCAAAACCTAGTAGGCAGTCTTGTTCTCTGGGGAACTGTCAGATTTGTATAATACAAGTCAGTATAACAAATTCGTTAAGGATGTGCATAACTAAAACTTCCAGCTTGTGTTTGGGGAGTTCTTTTCAGTTAGGCAGGTGTGATGTTTGTTTTGTTAGATCAGAACTAAGTTGCTTATGGTCCCAGATTATCCTTCTTGCTAATTTGTGGAGCTAGAGCATATATACAGGCATGCACACACATGTCCAAATTGTCAGAGTATGTTATTGCTGTCATTGTAATGCTTACAAACAGGGGAATTAAGCCAAAGTCCATGTTATACTGCTTGGTACAAAACAAAGGTTCCTTATACTGTGTTGTCCCTGTGGATGAATAGAAAACTTTACACCTTGAGTTACCACTTGAAGATCTTGGACAAGCATTTTCAGCACCAGGTAGTACCATGTTTTGTCTTGTTAACATCCTCCTCTGTATTCTGGTAGAAAAAGGCAATACCCTCCACCTCTTCTATCTAAGGGCAGGTGACTGAGGTGTGTCATTTTGTGTAGAGGAATCAATGGCCCTTTGAAGAGCCTGACCCTGGACATCACCTGGAGGATGTCACCATGTCACAGGTTTGGCTAGAGTCCTTTGATGGAACAATTCTCCAGTGAGGTACAGAAACAATAAATCTAAGTCCTACCCCAGAGAGGATTAAGGCTTAATGTGTTGTTTGGGCTGGTGTGTACACAAGTTGTGCAGAGGCATGAGCTGGCTCACCTCCTTTGGAGCTGTGCCAAATTACACACACATGCTGTTGGACCCAGCATTGCCCTACACTAAAGATGACAGAAGAGATGCCAGCGGGTACCACCACTGGTGCCTGACCAGGCTTTCTGTGCAGGAGAGCCAAAATGAATTCAAATCGAGCAGCAGATTTTGAAGTTCCCTTTTTGCTATTAGAATGCAGCTTGAGAAGGACCATGGAAGAGAATCGTTGTTGCTTTTATCAGCCTCTTTTGAAATGCTGTGTAATACCCCTGATAAAACTGCCTTGAACATATTTACTTTGGCTTTGACTTCCTTGGCTGCCCATGTGTAGAAGAGACACTGTGAGAAGGGTAAGGTGTGAATGTTTGTTGCAGTTATAACTGGCTATCAAAACAAGGAGGAATAATTATGTAACAGTTTAGTGAAGCAATGATATCTTTTCTGAAATAGCTGCTTTATGAATTTTATACAAAAAGCATGCACAGGTGTGTGCTGGTAACCTCCCTTTCATACAAGCTTGGCTTTCTCCTTTCCCTTTTTTCCCTGTTACAGAAAAACTATTTTAAAAAGAAATTCTAAGAAACTTTGTTCTATGATAAAAATATTCCACAGAAAAGAGAGTAAACTTTGCCATTTTCAACGTGCTGCTGAAGCACATTCATCTTTCAGAGCCTATACTGTAGCTAACTCTGAAAAACTGTGTTATTCTGTTTCAAAGCCTATAATCTGTAATACTGGATCTATTTGTCATTACAAAAGAAAAAAGTAAATAATTATGCTTATTTCATTAATAAGCCAAGAAGTAATCTCTACCTATTATCTTAATTATGTGTAACATACCCCTAATTCATAGAAGAGTTTATGCAATTCTGTTTCAGTAAGTGAGTAGCTGTCCTAGATGTTAGTTTTCACCAAAAAATTGGCATAGTTTTTCTAGAGCAGATGAAATTATTAGACCTCAGTGCTTCTCCCAAGTAAAATAAAAGACAGCTGGATGTTCTTCCTTTTAGACAGAAACATTGCACAGGTGTATGAGAAGGTTTTCAAGCCTTAAGGTGAATATTGGAGCAAAAATGTGCTGGGGACCTTTAAGTCCATTTTTATTTGGATGTTGGAATGTGCTCTGCACCCTGCCTCTCAGTGAACAACCCCTTCCTTGTAAACAGGCAGGAATTTACAGGCCTGGGCTGAGAGAAATGCATATGCACACACCAACAGATCATTGATGTGAGTGAAATTTAGGCAAATACTCCATTTCAGCCCTATAACTGAAAACCAGTCTGGTTTAGTCCAGTTGAGAGGTGTCCCTACCCATGGCAGGAGGTTGGACTAGATGGTCTCTTCCAACCTAAGCCATTCTATGAACTACTGAACTAGGGCATTCCCTTCCCGTGGGCTCTCATCAGCACTGTTGCTGGTCTTCACCCAGCTGAGGTCACACCAGTATGCCACAGGGGATCGGCCCTTGAGGGACTTTTTCTGTTTAAGGCAGTTGTGAGTTTTTGTGGATGCTAACAGCAAAGCTCAAGCTCCCTGAAGCCCCTGCTCCAACGAATGGACGTAGAGGGATTTTAATATTTTTATTATTATTATTATTATT